AATAACCTGAGAATAAGACAGAAGCCTTTGAAATCATCTAATTTGAGGGCAAGAAAATGATGGGTCCCATAGGTCAGATCCAGACCACTGCCTGGTTTGCTCTGTGTGTGTGTGTGTGTGTGTGTGTGTGTGTGTGTGTGTGTGTGTGTGTGTCTGTGTGTGTGTGTGTGTCTGTGTGTGTGTGTCTGTGTGTAGCCCTTGAGCTGCGCCTGTCAGCTAAGGCTCATTTTTATGGCTTTAAAAAACTAAAAAGAAAATGTTAAGAAATACTTTTGACTTGGGCGAATTTCTGACATCTCTAAGTAAATGGCTCACTTCCTCACTGATTCTGCACCTGGTGACAGAGGTGCTTGGACCACAGAGCCTTGATACTTCCTGTCTGGATTTATACAGGAAAAGCTTCCTAGCTCCTTATATATGTAAGGTTGTCACTATAATTTTACAAATGAAATAATTAAGGCCCAAATTGGCAAATGACCTGTCCAAGGCACACAGTGTGCTACTGAGGCCACCAGTGTCTTTCTGTCCTGAGTGCTCACGTGACCAATAGCCACAGAGACCAAACAGTTACTCTTAAAGAAAAGTAACTATTTAAAACTTACAACCAGCCAGGCGGTGGTGGCGCACGCCTTTAATCCCAGCACTCGGGAGGCAGAGCCAGGCGGATCTCTGTGAGTTCGAGGCCAGCCTGGGCTACCAAGTGAGTTCCAGGAAAAGGCGCAAAGCTACACAGAGAAACCCTGTCTCGAAAAAACAAAAAAAAAAAAAAACAAAAAAAAAAAAACTTACAACCACATGGGGTTTATGATTCCTTAGAATTTAAATTTATAATTAATTTCTAGATCTTAAAAACCTCCTGTGTTAAACACATTTGAACGTCTTACATAGTCAGAGAGATTCCTCTCTATTTCCTTATGGTAGCTGACTACACCCTCTGAGATGAGTCTGTTCACTCATAGACTATTGGATTTCCTTTATAGACACACACACACACACACACACACACACACACACACACACACACACACACACACACACGTAATCTCTAAGTTTGGATTTAAGAGCAGTTTCAGGAAAATTATAAAACATATTGAGACTGGGGTCTACTCTTAAGGGGGCAGGAGACAATCCCAAGAAACTAGTCTTGCAGAATAGGGAGTTTTAATTACCCAACATAAATCCTCCTTGCCCCTCCCCATATAGAGATGACAACACACTCAGTTTGAAATGCCCCTCAGAAGAAGCATGAACATTGTTGCTGCTCCCTACAACTGTACTCCTTCACATGCTGCTGGCTCTCCCTGCTTAGAGACAACTCTTTCAGCGCTATTATATGCAGACTTTTAACGTCCTGAGCACTTTCAGGACCTAGTGTGTCCAGCTTAGACCCATTCCAGAACTGTCATCTCCCTGTCACTGGCAGGGAGCGTCTACGGAGCTGGACACTGTTTTCCTTCCTCTTCCACGTCACATGAAAGTACTAGGTCCCAGGTTGCTGCAGGAGACCACTCAGGTCCGACTCTCCTGATGTGACAGCAGACAGAGGAAGCTGAGCCTTTCATTATACTTCACCCACTGTTGGTACCTCCTACTGCTGCTCAGGTGGCTCCCTGAGTAGCTCCAGTTACTTTATCCTGATGTCCTCCATGGGGTAGGCATGCAAGGCCTGTGTTGTTTGGGTACAGCCCCACAACCTTATTTGCTGGAGACTTGAAGAAGAGTCCTGGCCAGCTAACCCATGCCTGACTATCTGACAATGTCCCTTTAACCCACGGAAAACCTGGGCCTTCTCACCATGCCCAACAGCAGCAGTGCCTGGAGCCTGCTAGGTCTGCCTGGCAAGTTCTTTCTCTCTGTCTGTGGCTTCACAGCCATCCTCAAAGGCACCGAGATCTAACCTTCAGAGAGTGCTTCTGTGTCGCTCTTCTGTGTCGCTCGTCTGCCGTAGTCTTCCACCTTTCTCCACTCCCAGCCTGACCTGCACACCTGGTGGCGCTCCATTCAGCTTCCAGATTCTGTTTTCAATGCAGTTTCATTTGAACTGACCCCTGATCCCTGATGTGCTGCACTGATCTTGGACCCCTGTTATGTGTTTTTATGAAACCCATTATTTCCCTTCATAATGCTTATCACAACTGTAATTATACAGTAATTTAAGTTATTATCTGTTTTCCTCCAGGAGACTGTAATTTCCGTAGGGCAGGAATTATATCTGCCTCACTCCCCATCTCGGGGCCTAGTGCAAAAGGCTTACCAAACACCAACCACCCTGAAGGCATGAGAGAGAACCATCACCATCATTGTGTCCCTTCACTTCCCCAGGGGAAGAGTGGGCCCTGTCTGGATAGCTTTAAAATCTTGTTTTTAATTCTTGAGAGTAACTTTATAATAATGAAGTACTGTACATTAAATACCAGGTGAAGCAAAGTTGCATTAAGATAAACAGGTGTTCAGGGCAGTATCTTTTGCTGGTACTATTTCCTTTGCTGCTGGCCACTATAGATCAGATCAACTCATCAAACACTGTGTAACTGCCAAGCACCAGGACACAGTGTGGATGAGTGTATGCAACTTGGGAGGCTGTTCAGCACAAATGGAATTGCATTTTCCAGTTATAATCTTTCCTTTTCCTCTCTCTGTATTTCATCCTCCTCTCTCCATGTCTTTTCTTCCTTCCTCCCCATTCCCTGTCTTCTTGCCTTGTATCTTGTAACAAGGGCCAATTTGTTAATTTTCAACAACTGGGGGAAATTGAAACAGTAGCAGTTTTATGGTGTGGTCCTATGTGCTCATCTATTTTTTTCCTCTCACAGAATGTTGTATATGCATGCAGACTTTACTTCAGCAGTCCTTTGGGTCACATTTGGGACCATCCTGAGCAGTTTGCAGGCCACTATGATTGACTCAGAGACTATCCATTGCAGGATTGCATTTCCTGTGATGCACAACTTTATGGATGGATTATGTGCACAATTGCAATGTCTAAGATACTGCTTCTTAGGACAGCTGGTTTGTGATAGGAAGTCCAGCAAGAGACCAGTTCTGCTGTCACACTGGTCTTCTGCACACTGTCCCACATGATAAGATTGTCTCCGTGTATGCTGTCACATGCTGCTCACTGCTTGCAGTCCTTCAGGCATTCTGATCGCTGCTCAAGGAGAGGAGAGCAAAGACTTCTTTTCTCTGCTTTTATCCAGCTCTAACCTCTAGAAACAACCCAGAAAATTATTTTTTTCATGCAAATTTTTATCCTCGGCCAATCAGCTACCTAGAAGAATAATCAAGAAGGCCCATTCTGGTACCAGAAAATTATCACTAGATCTCCAAGCTGGAGCGTTCAGAGGCACATATCACATGCTGGGTCACTACTACAGCAGAACTCAGTGACTTTAATTACTGGATGAATTTTAAGGGATGCATATCTGTATATTTGAAAATGTGTACCTGGTAGCCTTAAAGTAAGGCAAATAAAACATAGCTTGGCCAGAGAATAACAACAGGATAAAAATCTCTCTGATAGTCTAGAACTGGACATTTGAGTAGTGTACTAAACTTTCTAAAGAAGGCCTTAATTGATTTTGGTGTTGAGAAAAGGTCTCACTGTGTGATCCAGTCTAGTTTTCAGTTGGCAATGTTCCTCACTCAGGCTCCCAAGTACTGACATTTGCCAGCGTGTGCCACTGGCACTGCAGACATGTCCACGGTAGTTGTATCTGGAAAGCTCCCTTGCACCTTCCCAGATACTGCTGAAGGTTTTTCATGTCTCCTGTTGGAAGACACTTCACATGTCCTTATAGAGATGTAGATTCAAACTGACTCTGGAGCCTTGAACAGATAGGAATTTGGGGAAATTTACCTTCACTTTTTTAAAAAAATTGGGGGTAGATTGGTTCCATTTGCTTAGAAGAAGTTTTTCATCCCTTTGCCCTAAGGCGGTGGTTCTCTACCTGTTGGTTGTGACCCCTTTAAGGTTGCAGCTAACATGACCTTTTCACAGGGGTCAGCTAAGACTATAGGAAAACACAAATATTTATATTACAATTCATAATAGTAGCAAAATTACAGTTATAAAAACTAGCAACAAAAATAATTTTATGGTTGGGGGTCACCACAATACAAGGAGCTCTATTAAAGGGTTGCAGCATTATAAAGGTTGAGAACCGTTATCTTAGTGGTTAAGAGCACTTGTTGCCTTACAGAGGACCTGGATTCTTTGGTTCCCAGCAACCACAGCGGCTTACAATCATCCATAACTCCTGGGGACCTGATCATCTCTCTGATCTTCACAGATACCAGGCTCCCACATAGTATACACACACATGTGAGCAAGTGAAGCCATCGTGATCATAATAATCTGAGAAAAAAATGTACTCTATTAATAGACTTCCAAAACTGGATGCAAACAGTGACTGAGAAACAACGAGTTATTGGATGACCGTCACAGATTGTCTTCCTTAGCACCTTGTTCTCTGTGGTTATTATTCAAGAAGAGATTGTTCTGGATCTGAACCAAAGCTGCATTTTCTTAGGCCTTGTTATGTAATCCGGGGTGCATGTGTGTTCCTGTACACAACCCCCCTACATACACACACACACACACACACACACACACACACACACACACACACAGGAGAATGAGAAAACACCTGCAGCCCTATGCTAAAGACCAGTGGAGAACAGAGAGTACACAGTAGCTCACCCTGTTTTACACATGTTCATTGCACAACTCAGATTTAACCTGTGCTCTCTAGATTTCAGCCTCAAGTAATTTTTCTGGATGCCAAGCCTACACCCAATAGTGTCGCCCATGCTGGCTACACAGTCAGTTAACATCAGCAAGTCTGTCTTAGAGATGTGTGTACTAGATTTTTTTTTTTAACCATGATGTAGTGAAGTTATTCATGTGTCTTCAAGGCTTAAAATTTGAACATCTTTTTCACTTGTTGTTTTGAGAAATGCCTAATACATTTTGACTTTATTTCTCTTTTTCTCAACCCCAGCATATCAATAATGACCATATTCATGGAGAAAAGAAGGAGTTTGTGTGTCGCTGGCTTGATTGTTCAAGAGAACAGAAACCCTTCAAAGCCCAATACATGTTGGTAGTGCACATGAGAAGACATACTGGCGAGAAGCCTCACAAATGTACAGTGAGTACACACCTGGGCAACCTCCGTGTCCCCTCACGCAGGAGAGTGTGACACTTCACTCTGTAGGTCTTTCCTAGCATTCTCAAGGGTTTTGCATGCAAGTGACCCCAGGTCCTGAAATGGCTGTTGGGTGGTAGTTAGAAGAGAGATGGAGCACTGTCCAGGAAAAGTGCCTTCAAGTTGAGCTTTAGACAGGACATCTCTGCATAGTGGCAAGCAGGTGTAAGGTGGCTGACTCCATGTGCTCATGGCTTCTGTGTCTGCCATAGCCCTGTGGTTCAGCATGCTGCAGGACAAAGCACAAGGTTGATGTGTTTTTCAGTTTAATTTTATTATTTGTATATGTAGGGGTCAAAGGACAATTTCGAAAGTTGATTTTCTCTTTGCACTTTTATATGGGTTACAGGTATCAAACTCAGGTAGTCAGGTTTACACAGCTTTCACTTTGACCCATCTTAACGGGCCCTAAGTTGAGCATTCTTTATCAAAAACAAAATTCGAAATGATGGGTTTGGGATGTAGCTCATGGAAGAGCACTTAACTGCTCTTTACAAGGCTCTAGATGCAAACATAATGTTCCAAGTAAAAAAACCCATTTATGTGGCCACTTGGAATCACCACACAGGTGCACTAAAACTGTTGTATAACATTATTAATAATCTGTGCGTATATGTTATATATAAAACACAGATGAGCTTATTGTCTGTCTCCATGGTGTCTCAAAATGTCCATGCATATATGCTGAAATTTAAGAAAACTCAAGGCACGTCTTATCTCAGGCCTTTTAGGTACTGCATATTCAGCCACTCAGGGCCATCATTTCTCCTTGCTCTGTGCTCAGTCTTCTTGCTAGAGTGTAAGCCTCTGGAGTGGGCTGGGGCTGCAGTGAGACTGCACTTTCTCTCAGGGGGTGCTCTGAGCACTGCACAGCCCTGGTACTTTACATCTTAAAGGCCCTTTACAAACATGATCAAATTCCATGGCTTTGTATAGACACAAAGCCATATTAATGAACTTTGTGCTGAATCTGAAATCAGTGGGAATTGGAGGAGATCAGTGAACAGATAATGAAATTCATTGTCCACATTGAGCTGTCTATTAAAAAAAATAGGAAAGGAAAAAAAAAAGCCTTCAGGAGTTTTACAGGCGCTGACAATGCTTTGTCTTCAAGGGCCCCAAGCCACATCTGAATCCCAATAAATGCAGAGTTTAGTGGGGTTTTGTTCCACGGTTTTGAAAAGCTGCTGACCCTTGAAAGGTCAAGTTTTTATCCACTTGGAGAGGGGGTTAAGCACAAGCTGCAGCTTCTATTGTGTGGAGTGGTCCAGATTTACCTGTTGTGTTCAGTTTGAAGGTTGCACAAAAGCCTACTCGAGATTAGAAAACCTGAAAACGCACTTGAGATCTCACACTGGAGAGAAGCCATACGTCTGTGAGCATGAGGGTTGCAACAAGGCTTTCTCCAATGCTTCAGATCGGGCTAAGCACCAAAACAGAACGCATTCCAATGAGGTAAGCCTCCTCCATGGATCCAAAGCTGCAAGCAGAAACAATGAGCCTTCTTGTGGAATATGCATGGTAAAGTAGGTGTGTTCTGTTTTGTTTTCTCTGGGCTGCTCTCACTATGAGTGGGCTCTGACCCTGCAAGTGAAGGTTTGGGGCCTCAAGGATGGACCCTGCTTGGAGAGTAATGCAGATGAAGAGGAAATTTTATAAAACCCTTTCTGAACTTAGTTTCCTGTTGCTTGGAACTGCCACCTACTGGCCAGACAGTAGTAGCATTTAACTTGGAGTTCAGCCGGCCTACTCTGCCAGAATAGCCTGAGTCCACATAAAGTAAGACCCTGTACCAACTAAAGAGATTCAGAGCCTTCACACTGGCAGGTGAGACCTCACGGCTGAAAGCTTACACTCTTAATTTGCTTTCTTGGAGAAAGAAGTGTCATCACATGCATCATTTCTAAATTTATTTCCAGGGAGCAAACAGCTTAAATAAAGTTTATAGACATTCTAGATTCCAAAGGATCTTGGAAGGCAGTCTTAGAAGCCCAGCTAAAACTTAAGTCAGTTACTTAAGATACAATGAGGGAAGCCTCATCGTAGTAGTTGGTTTATGTTATATTGCTTTTATTTTTTAGGCAATTGTTCCCAGATCACTGATAAGTGTAGAAATGACAATGGTTCGATTTGTTTTAGCTAGGCTTTGATACATATCTGCCTGCAAGTGTATAACGTCTCCTTGGAAGTGTAGCTGAATTACTGGCTCCTCTGTAAACTGTCCCTTTGATAAGTCAAGATTAACAAAGCTCCTGCCCCTCATTTGTGGTAGAAGTGAGATAGCTACCAGGACATAGTTCAGGCCTGCAGAATGTGTCTCTGGGTGACTTGAAACAGCCTTGGAAAAGGGGAAGTCTGTAGGTGTGAGACTCTTTGAGGGGCTGTTAGGACCTCATCAGATAGAGACCAGTCTCACTTAGAACCTTGCAGTCTCTAAACCAAGTGAGCCACATTGCTCAGGAGCTACCTGGCTTTAAGCAGGGGAATATAGTCCTGACAAGAGAGGAAACCCACCTTTAACGAGATTATCTACACTGTCTAAAATGTATATTCAGATCTGGTCACACTCAAAACTCACACTTGTGTGTCCACAGATGCCAGCTCTTTCAAAAGCTTATGGTATGATAAGGATGTACAGGTCATTTTGAATCTCCTGTTAATGACCTAAGAGATATTGGGGGAGGAGGCGACACATTTCATTTCTTCTGTTAAAAATGTTTTTCCTGGGGGGCTGAAGAAATGGCTCAGTGCTTAAGAGAACTGACTGCTCTTACAGAGGACCCAGGTTTGATTCCCAGCACCCACACGGCTGCTCATAACTGTCTGTAACTCCAGTTCCAGGGGATCTGACACCTTCTTCTGGCCTCTGTGGTCACTATGTTCCTAATGGTACATGGACAGACATACATAATAATATAAGGTTAAATTTTTTTTTTAATGAAAAGGAATGCCTCAGTGGACATTTTTTTAAATGCATTTTCTATATTTAATAGCTACTATGTCATTTGATGCTTTTGTTTTGTACCTTTTAGGGAGTCTAGAGTGGACAAATCCATGGACACAAAATAGTATTTGCCAGCAGCTGGAGGCTGAGGCAATAAGTGACCGCTGATTTTGGATTGTTAAAATGTTCTAGAATTATTGTACAACATGAAAAATATCCTGAGTGAGGGAGGCTAAGTCATACAGTTTGTTTTTCTGTCAATCCCGATTTCAATTTATAGAGTTTGAGAACCTCTGCTTGGAATTTAATTAACATAGTAATTAAGTTAGCTATATTTCATATGCTTAAGTAAGAGAAGGCATTCACTTTGGCCAAGCTCTTCTGCTGCAGAGAAATTTGACCAGTGTGTATATTGAGTTAAATGTCTCAGGAAACTAGAGGATGTCTTGGCCAGTAATGTTATTACCAGGATTGAGCAACTTATATAAGTGGGTGACCTTGATAATAGCACATAATTAAAGTTCACTCACAAACATACAAGTAACTTTTCTTTATAATGCATGCAAGGCTTTGATTATGAAAACCTGGGCCATCTCAAATATATGGACGTTAGGTTTGTGTGTGCAAGGCTTTGGTTATGAAAGCCTGGGCCATCTCAAATATATGGAAGTTAGGTTGTGTGTGCATGGCTTGGGCTTTGAGTGTGAAAGCTGGGACAGATTCAAGTATACCAGGTTAGGCTTGTGTTGGAAATCCAGGTTCTTGTAGTCGGTCAGCCCATCATAGACAAATCCCAATACTCACTTGCACTTATTTATTTTCTTATTTATGCCTTCACTTTTTTGCTAAGCAAAGATTGATAGCTAGTTATGTCCCAAGCCCTTCTGCTATGCTAAGTATAGCAGAGAATTCAACAGGATAGATCCAGGGAGTAATTCCCAAACATGAAAGCTATTATGGCATTTCTCTGTCCATGACTTTGACCTTGCCCCTTCTGGGGCTGTGAAGCAGTGGCCTCTGAAAGAACTCCCCATTCAGATCATACAGTTTGCATTCTTCCTGAAGCTACATTTATGTCCATGCTCCAGCTGCCCTTCCAGTCTGACCTCTCATGAGCAGAACCTTTGCTAGCGACCCTCCATTTTAGCATCTCCTTGTCCTTGTTTTTATTCCTCAGACTCTTACTGTCTGTTTTCAAGACCTAGCAAGTGCTTCCTCGTAGTAAAAGCTCCACTGAGCAAGTGTTTACTATGGGTCATGCACAGTTGCATATACCTTATGTACCCATGATCTGGGAGTTAGACCCAGATGTTAATAACTGACATCTAATTATCCCAACCAAAAATGGAGTCTTCATTCAGCCATCTTTAGGAGTCACACTTGAAAATGTAAATAATTGCATGGTATGATTTTTCCTACCAGAAAAGAAGATTCTGTATACAAAATATAGAGGATTACATAAAGGATTTTTATATTCATTGAGGCTACACATCTTTGTGCACAAGGAATCTTGCATATAGTAGGACTCATTTGATGTCTCGTGAAAAAAAAATTAGCTGGGAAGTGGCTCAGCCCTGTAATCCCAGCACCTGGGAGGCTGAGGCAGGAGACTCATGAATTAATGGCTAGGGTGGGCTGTAGAAAAAGAGCTTGTCTTTTTTTTATAAGTTCTGTAGTCAGGAGAAGATGCATTGGCAGCTTTACACCAGTACCTGAGTATACAAGTCAAAATGGTAACCGTCGTGTCAGAAGTTAAAAGACCCAGGACCTGAAAAGCAGACTGCTCAGCAGGTCTGCCATGTGTCATGGCCTGTCATTGCATTTTATTGCTAACATGTAATCTCAAGGTCAGACTACACAGTTGTCTTTATGTGTTTTGTTTTAAAGCATAAACTTCCAGAGTCTGCTCTTGTGGATTTTTGTTGGTGACCAGTGTGCACGTTCATATGCAAGGGTACATGGTTACAGGTGTGCTGATGCATGCCATTGGTCTTGAAAATGCTAGTTCTAACGAGCTTCTCCGTGGTCATTACACATCAGCTGTGTCCTCATTTCCAGGCTAATCATAATATTCACATGCATGTGTTTATAGGGAGAGTAGCTCTTCAGGTATGTCCTGTGCCCCCTCCCTGTGCCTCTGTCCCATGTCCACTTACCTGCCTCATGCACTCTGCTGATGAAACAGCCTGTCCCATCAGTGCCCTGAGCAGGCACAGGGTTGATGTGCAAACAGGTAAAGGTAATGGCACTAACTGTCAGAGCCATTCTTCTGTCCCTAATGCATAGAACCCTGTACTTTCATTTCATCATGTATATGCGGCAAATCACAGAGCTCCTGAGTAGACATAATTTATAGTTAATGGGAATCAATTCTACCCAACTGAATCTTACATTTGAAGGTGAAGTCTCTCAGGATAATGTTCGAAATCTTCACTTCTCTACATTACAAAATTTCTGCATTTTAGGTTGCACTCAGTCTGGTCTTGGGCTTTTAGTGAAAAAAGCATCTTTTAGACATTCATTCTACAGGACAGGACATTTAGCAAGGATTAGAGATACATTATTTTAATCATGCCTTTTCATGATGATTTCTTATATACTAGCTTACCTTCTAGTACACAGAGGTGGAAGTACATAGTGCCTTTATGGCATTCAGCAAGAGATCATGCCCAGGACCTCTACACACACCAGAATCAGAGAATGTACAAGTCTCTTCAATAAAATGCTACAGTACTTATATATAATCTCTCATACTTTAGATTACTTCTAATGCCCAATACAGTGTAAATGCTGTGTAAATAGTTGCTATATTGTTTAGGGACTAGCAAAAGGAAAAAAGTTTCTGTTCATGGTCACTGCAAGTGTAAGGTTTTCACACTACAGGTGTGAATTTAATGTTTTCGATCTGAAGTTGGTTGAGTTTGTATACATAGAGCCCTTGGGCAGGCAGGGCTGGCATTAGTCATACCAACATCCCAAAACTGTATTATTTTGGAAGTCAAGGAAACAAAATCACCATTTACATTGGTAAAGAGCAAAGGGAACAGTTCTATGATCTATATGAATATTTAGTTATAAACATCCCTATGTTTATAACTAATCGAGATATATGATCACTGACTCAGGTGAAAATAAAATTAGCATGAAGTAGTTCCATCATGTGTAGACCTGGAAAGTCAGAAGAAAGCAGACTGGGAGTCCTGGTTTTCTGTAAACCATTCACCAGCCCTGAGAGGTGTGTGGGAAAGGGTATGTGGCTGGTATATAATGAGGCTACAACTCTAAAGACCAGAGAGAGACCTTCTGGGGGTTTTAAGCCCTGAACACCCAACGGTTGTAATGCTACCCAAAGGAGCACATTTTAGTGAAACAATATGAGAATAGCTCTGGGCAGTTTGGTGTTATTTCTTATTAGTATAATACCTGTGTACAAATAGCACATTTGCCAAGCAAAGAATGATTAGATCTCAGAACCAAGATAAGATAAAAAATTTCTTCATACAAACCATCTCCTGCAAGATGTATAAAATTGCCCTAATATCGTCTTCTTGTAAGCCTCCCTCCATTATCCTCATCAATAGATGGAGAGCCGTGATGCTTCCACTCACAGCATAAATGCTTTCAACAATGTAAAGGCAATTTACACACTTTTACCACTTTGTGGCTCCCTAAAATAATACCCTATTAAGCTAGATTCCATGGACACTGAGCAGTGTCCAAATAGCCTTTCTAAGTCATTAGACCTGAAAGGTATCTGAATGTTGCAAAAGTGTTTTTGAAAGAATTAGAATTGTAATGAACAACTGCTAAGTCATAATCACTTTTATAACCGTCCATCGACAATTCATTTTTGTGGCACTTGATAGAAACCGTATGTATGCAAAATCCCTGGCTGCACCAAGCGTTACACAGACCCCAGCTCTCTCCGGAAACATGTGAAGACTGTGCATGGTCCTGAGGCTCATGTCACCAAGAAGCAACGTGGAGACATGCACCCTCGGCCTCCGCCCCCGAGAGATTCTGGCAGCCACTCACAGTCCAGGTCCCCCGGCCGGCCGACTCAGGGAGCCTTTGGTGAGCAGAAGGAGTTGAGCAACACTACCTCAAAGCGGGAAGAATGCCTCCAGGTGAAGACGGTCAAGGCTGAGAAGCCCATGGTATGTCATTCACTCTCCTGTTCTCCCAGAGCCAACCAGGCTCATTGAGGAAAACCCAACTGAGCATGTCTAGGGACAAAGCTGCCCGCTCTGTGTTGTATCTGGCCACTCCGATTTGAGGGTCATGAGCCCAGTGATTGAGACTGCTCACTTGAAGTTAATCTCCTTAGAAAATAACTTTGCTTAGGAGTTTCTAAGATTCCTACCTGCCTTTTAAAACTGATCCAGAGCTGTACCACTTGTGGCAGACAGACACAGCTGTCATCTCCTCAAAGTGACTACTCTGTAGAAAAATCATTCCTTGAGCCTGTCTGCAAATACGTTTTCTGTCTTCCTTGCCCTGGTGACACCAATGTGAATAAGCTGAAGTCCTTATTCTTTGGAGCTTGCTTACAGTTCAGTGGAATACACAGATTGAAAAACAAATACAATTCAGACGATGGGGCTTAAACACAAGTCTGTGAAAAGCCTTCTAGAGAAGGAGAATTGCCAATGGGCTCTGAGGGCAGAGACCATGAGGACAGAGTTCAGCACGCAGACCAGGGAGTGGGTCCTAGGAAGGGGAGGAAGTGGAGAGGTACCAGTTGTGGTGTTTGCCAGAGCAAAAGGAGATGATGGCAAGGGTGAGATTCGTGGGTGACAATGTTATCAGCGCTATTATTAAGTATTGCAGTATAGTTTGGAGACAGTGGAGATGGTCTGCTGTCACCCGAAACCATGATACCTCCCATTGCTAAGTAATTATAGCAGTTTACCTTAAAATGACTTGATATGTAAATATTTATAAACAAATTAAATTATAAAAATTGCATTCAAAGAGATGAAGACTGAACCATATATTTATTTACAGGTGAGAAAATTGAAGTTCCTTGAAGCTAGTCATGTGATCACATTTCCACACTAGCTGCTGTGTGTACATACACACATTTAAATACCAGATGCCTTTGTAGACATTTATTAATGAATACTGTTACATTTCTAATATTATTTCTTTTGAAACATGTCTTTCATTTGGTCATCATGCTATAAATTAAATTCTTTCTTCTTTTTTCTTATTAATGCAACACCTCTTCTGTCTATTGCTCCCAAATGTCTTGTTCTCACTTCCTAAGGACAGTGGGTAATAAGGTGAGGGAATTTTGGCTTCTCTATTCTTTTTTTTGTTTTCATTTTAACATGCAAATTTTCTTCCCATTTCATCTTTCTTTAGTTCTTATGGCTTTGTGATATCTTTGGTGACCATTACTCAGCTCTGTGCCTTCGAACATAGCATGTGAAAAATGTGGTTAGGTGATGAAACTCATTGTTACTTTATCCTGGGTCTTCATAATAAATCACACTGGGCCAACCAAGCAGTTGTTCTCAAATTCTACTTAATTGCTGTCCTGACTAGCATAAATTCAAGTGTGGGACCAGAAATGTACTGTGTAGTTTGGAGAAGACCTAGATAAATTTGCCCGCAACTTAACCTCCATGCAATTGTCTGAGTACATATCAGTAGTATCCGTGCCTTTTTACATGCTCTGTGGAAGTGTGTGAGCATAGTCCTATATACAGACCCATGTACATATATATTCTCTCAAAGAATGAAAGTTACCCAAAGCTGTAAAAATTCCTAGTACCTCCAGGAGAGCTGGTATCTTAAGACTTTGCTGAGGCAAAATAATTGAGCAAGACTTTATATACTCATGATCAGATTTACATATCTTCCTTAGCTCTACTTGGTTGCCCAGGGTGAAGTTACTATATCATGTGGCACTTGCTAAGAAAGTATGTATATGTAATAAATAGAGCTAAAAGGATTCCCAGAGAGAGTTACCTCTACAAATACCTTATTAACAGAATTGTGCATCCCACCTGAGAATAACTGTTCGTAGCTCCAGTTTTTATAGGAACCCTGGAGAGGGTACTGTAAGAGCACAGATTAGCCATCTTGAGGGTCTAAACATTGTGATTTGCAGTGGTCACTGGACTTCTCTGAACATCACTTTTCTTGTTCTTACAAAGATGTGACTTCATCAGTTGGTACCTTTGCAACTGTACATCGATGGTTGTGCAGTGTGAGAACTATCCTGTGTGCTGTAGGTCTGTTCTCATGGTGCTTTCCAAACCCTGAGATGGTTGGGCTTTTCACCTGCTAGCCCAGAAGCCCTGGCATGGACGAAAGTAGTACTTCCTTTGAGACTAGTCAGTAAGATTAAGTTTCGATTAGTTAGAAAATTTTCTTTCTGTGTCTGCTTGGTTAGGATTTGGAGAACACACTGAGAGAGGAACAGTGAAATCATTATTCAAACTCAGGGCCACTGTCCATTTCAGCCTTTCTTCCCTTCTGAGTGTGACAGAAGCAACGTGATCGATGCTTTACCTGTCACAGCTGCCTTGACCCATACCCTGGTTGAAGGTCTATACTACTGGGAAAATATGGCAGGGAGGAAAAGATAGAATAATGTTGGAACCAGGTATGAAGAGCCTAGAGGGACCCTTGTTGGAAGGAGATTATGTGTCCTATGGAGCATCCCCTATATATATGTTATAACTCAGCAAAAATGAACCCCAGTTGGAACAGTAGTTACTAAAGCCTCTGACCTTGTCTTTAACTTTACCAGGTCTTTATACTTAGGTGCTCTCTGGGATTTACGTTAATTTCCAATAGCAACCCTTAACAATTGATCCCATTATATACATAAAAATGCTGCTGTGGTGAAAGGTTAAGAAATTTACCCAAAAATATGAATGTCCTGGAGATAGAATTGAAAATGAGGAAATATGTCTGCACAGTTGACATTTGGAACAGGATCCCATGGCTGATGACTCTGATCACACCACATCTAACATCTTCTACCATCCATCACCTCCCCTTGTGCATCAGCCTGGTGGGCCATTATCATTTTGGCCCAAAGGCTACTTCATCCACCAGCACATAGCTTTTCTTCTCATTTAACCTGCTGATAACCTGAAGGTCGTGACTTGCATGAGCTGTCATTTTGGCTTTCTTTCCTTTACCTGTCCTGATGTCATGTTGTTCTTTTTTCCTTAACCCTGATAGACATCTCAGCCAAGCCCTGGTGGTCAGTCTTCATGCAGCAGCCAACAGTCCCCCATCAGCAACTATTCCAACAGTGGGCTCGAGCTTCCTCTGACTGATGGAGGTAGTGTAGCAGACCTCAGTGCCATCGATGAAACCCCAATCATGGACTCGACCATTTCCACGGCAACCACAGCCCTTGCTTTGCAAGCCAGGAGAAACCCGGCAGGGACCAAATGGATGGAGCACATCAAACTTGAAAGGCTAAAACAAGTGAATGGAATGTTTCCAAGACTGAACCCTATTCTACCCTCCAAAGCCCCTGCGGTGTCTCCTCTTATAGGAAATGGTAAGTTCCACCTGAGACCACATGTCTGTTCACTCGAGATGTTTCCTTTCCTTTAAGTGTGGCCAGACATGCCGAGATGACCTGGAGCCCTTGCTTTTATATTTGTTAGTTTCTCCACAGATCCTAAACTTTCGCTAGAACCTCTCTGTGTTAATGTTGAACCATGTACATTGCTCTTCTGGATGGTCCATATTTTGGAAATAATAGCAGAATACCGTTTGAATTCCAGCGGGACAAGCAAAACCTCAGCAATGGGTGCATTTGTGGTTAGTGCCCAACTCTAGTTTCCCAAACATAAAACCAAGAGAATTTTATCTGTTTGTCCAGTTCAAGGCAATACAAACTAGTCTAATGCTTGGGGGAATGCTTGTCAGCACCTAACTTAAGGCATTCTTTTTTTTTTTTTTTTTTAGATTTATTTATTTATTATGTATACAGTGTTCTGTTTGTATGCATGTCTGCACACCAGAAGTGGGCACCAGATCTCATTAGAGATGGTTGTGAGCCACAATGTGGTTGCTGGGAATTGAACTCGGGACCTCTGGAAGAGCAGTCAGTGCTCTTAACCTCTGAGCCATCTCTCCAGCCCAACTTAAGGCATTCTTAACTTAACATCTCTCTTTCTCTCCTCCCTCTGTGCCTTCCTCCAGGCACACAGTCCAATAACAACTATAGTTCGGGTGGGCCTGGGACCCTTCTCCCGAGCAGAAGTGACCTGTCTGGCGTAGATTTCACCGTGCTGAACACACTCAACAGGAGGGACAGCAGCACCAGCACCATCAGCTCTGCCTACCTGAGCAGCCGCAGATCCTCGGGCATCTCCCCCTGCTTTTCCAGCCGCAGGTCCAGTGAGGCATCACAGGCTGAAGGGAGACCCCAGAACGTGAGCGTGGCTGACTCCTACGACCCTATCTCCACAGATGCCTCACGGAGGTCCAGTGAGGCCAGCCAGGGTGATGGGCTGCCCAGTCTGCTCAGCCTCACACCCGTACAGCAGTACCGCCTCAAGGCCAAGTACGCCGCTGCCACTGGTGGTCCACCACCTACACCCCTGCCCCACATGGAAAGGCTGAGCCTGAAGACCAGGATGGCCTTGCTGGGGGAGGGCAGGGACTCGGGGGTGACCCTGCCTCCAGTTCATCCTCCTCGGAGGTGCAGTGATGGAGGAGGCCACACATATAGCCGGCGTCACTTGCTGCCTCATGATGCACTAGCAAACAGTGTAAGGAGAGCCAGTGACCCTGTAAGGACAGTCTCCGAGAACATGTCACTTCCCAGGGTTCAACGCTTCAGCAGCCTCAACAACTTCAATCCTCCAAGTTTGCCTCCATCAGTGGAAAAGCGTAGCTTAGTGCTACAAAATTATACCCGGCCAGAGGGCAGCCAGCAGCCCCGATACTTCTCAGCATCCCCTTGTCCTCCCAGCATCACAGAGAATGTTGCCCTGGAGGCCCTGACCATGGATGCTGATGCCAACTTGAATGATGAAGATTTCCTGCCAGATGACGTGGTACAGTATTTAAATTCCCAGAACCAAACAGGGTATGGACAACAATTGCAGAGTGGCATCTCTGAAGACAGCAAAGTAGCCCATGGACCAGAGGACTTGGACATACCAGGGCTGCCAGACAGCCATGTTGGCCAGCAGTACCCAGCTCTGGAGCAGCCCTGCTCTGAGGGCAGCAAAACTGATTTGCCCATCCAGTGGAACGAGGTCAGTTCTGGAAGCTCTGACCTGTCATCCTCCAAGCTGAAATGTGGTCAGCGCCCTACCGTACAACAGGCACGAGCCTTTGGGTTATACAACAACATGGTAGTACACCCACAGAATCCATGGAAGGTTGGGACTGGCCCAGCAGGGGGATATCAGACCCTCGGGGAGAATGGCAGTACCTACAATGGCCCAGAGCACTTTGTAATCCATGGTGGGGATGGACCTGGCCCAAATGGAAACGCTTTCCATGAACAACCCTATAAGACCCAGCAGTATGGGAGCCAGCTCAACAGGCAACCACTGACTTCCAGTGCATTAGACAATGCCTGTGGTGCTGGGATTCAAGGGTCTAAGCTGAAAGGCAACACCTTGCAAGAGAATGGAGGTTTGCTAGATTTTGGGCTGTCCACGGCACCGAATGAGTTAGCTAGCAACACAGTGAATGGCATACAGACGCAAGATCAAACGGGACAGGGGTACATTGCTCATCAGCTACTCAGCGGCAGCATGCAGCACCAGGGGGCCAGCCGCCCTGGTCAACAGATCCTAGGGCCGGTCGGTGCTACCTCACATATCAGCATCTATCAAGGGACAGAGAGCTGCCTGCCAGGGACTCAGGACAACAGCAACCAGCCATCAAGCATGGCAGTGGTCAGGGGCTACCAGCCCTGTGCCAGCTATGGGGGCAGCAGGCGCCAGTCAATGCCAAGGGGCAGCCTCCCACTGCAGCAAGGACAGCTCAGCGATGTGAGTCAGACGAGCAGGGTGAACAGCATCAAGATGGAGGCACAAGGGCAGTCCCAGCAGCTCTGCTCTAATGTGCAGAATTACTCTGGTCAGTTCTATGACCAAACCGTGGGCTTCAGTCAGCAAGACAGGAAAGCTGGTTCGTTTTCCCTTTCAGATGCCAACTGCCTGCTCCAGGGGACTGGCACTGAAAACTCTGAGTTACTTTCCCCAGGTGCTAACCAAGTGACAAGCACAGTTGACAGCTTTGAGAGTCACGACCTAGAAGGCGTGCAGATTGATTTTGATGCCATCATAGACGATGGGGACCATACTAGCCTGATGTCAGGGGCCTTGAGCCCAAGTATCATTCAGAACCTTCCCCACAGCTCCTCCCGTCTCACCACCCCACGGGCGTCCCTTCCCTTCCCCTCCCTATCCATGAGTACCACCAACATGGCTATCGGGGACATGAGTTCTTTGCTGACCTCCCTTGCAGAAGAAAGCAAGTTCCTTGCAGTTATGCAGTAAGCAAGGAGGACCACAAGTAGAGGTAAAACTTTAGGACTTGAAAGATTGAATTGACTGTTTGGACCTTTTTTTTTTCCTAAGTTCTGTATGTATTTTAGCATTCTCATCTCACCTGACTGGGATGTGTCTCAAGTATATTCCTTTTATGGAAAAGGACTCTGAAAAACCCTAAGGTATTCTAGGGGAGAAACTGTCTTCCATTTCAGTTTTGAATCAGTATTGTGACATTCAGATCACCCTCTTTTTTTAACCTGTAAGCCTGCCTCTTTTGAGTGAACCAGTGTAAATGTGTGGTGTGCATGTTCTTTCTTTTAGAAGAGAAGTCGTGACATTAAAAGATTTGGCCTGCTTCTCTGCTATCCCAGGAACTAGGAATGGATGTGCTTGTGACCAAGGGGTTCCAGGTCCACCTTTTTAAAATTTTCCTTCACAATACTCAATGACTTGTGTGCGGGTGTGTGTGTGTGTGTGTGTGTGTGTGTGTGTGTGTATGTATGTAGGTGTGTAGTTCTGACGCTGAGTACAAGAATCGAATGAGTGGTGGGTTTGAAGATTGTGGGTGCTCTATGGTTGGTATAAACAGCAGGTTTTTTATGTGTCCCCACCTTGATTCAATTCAGGGCATACTTTTAACAGCTGCACAAAAGTGGAAATCTGGGGATCCTACAAATGAAATCATTGTATTTCGTTCCGATTTTTAGGGGGTTAAACTCTTCTGTAAGTATGCATCCTGTGCATATGTCTGTGTGGTCAGTTCTCAGTCACCTTCTTTGCATCCCCTCGACCTTTATAAACATTCAGCGATATTTAGGACTGCCTGCCATGAGAGAGTGGACAGGTGATGGATGTTCAGACAGTCACTCCTTTAGCTCTTTGTAAGAAGTTAGACCAATTATAGATTGAAACAATTGGGTAGAGTTAGTTTGAGACCTGTTTTGTGGATTTGCTATAATGGATTATTGGTCCCATCTCTTTCCTTATTGTCATAGATAACTGAGAATTGATTATATGTAGCTCTAAGTAGGTATTTAAGCAACCCACTACTGGATGTATCATTACCATTTATTAATTTCACTATCACAAGGGAATATGTCTATTCTAAGTGCCCTATTTTAAGAGACGTGTAAAACTTAGTTGTAAAAGGCAAAATTCACATACATTGACATTGGAAATAAATTGCTTTAACCATTGTTAGCATTGGAGAGCATGAAAGACGATATTTAGTAGCCATGTGGATTCCAAATACCTTTAGTCCTTAACGTGGACTAGTCCTTTTGCTTTGGATTAAGACTTTAAAGATTTACACAATGCATCCACTCCTCACTTGTAGCTGACACACAAAGTCATACTATGTGGGCACAGTATGTGGATTGTCCAGCATATTACTTTAAAACTATGTAAATGATTAAAATAAAATGTTAACCCATCAGCCCCTGACACTGCATTTCTGCCAAGTGATTCTTGACACGGTTGTGTGGCTTTTCCTCTTAAGTCCTGCCATTACAATTCGGAGTAGAAAGAAAGCCAGGTGTTAGGTAATTGGAAGAACATTATGACCAGTCAATTTCACTCGTCTATTCTCTCTCATTGGAGCACAGATTTCAACAGGGAGGGAACTTTGCCATTTAGGACTTCCTGGCTAAGCTAGCCAGTTTGCTTTCTGTTAGATGTCCCTAGGACCAGTAGAGCAATTTGTAAGTTCTCCATGCCCTGCAGCCCTCTCCCAGGGGGCTTCTTGTAAATCAAAAGAGACCATAAGCAAGAGGGAACTGCTGGTCTGGGTTCAGGAGTGTAAAGCAAGGCCTCTCTGGTCCTCTGACAGGTCACTTTCTCATCACAGAATCACGGCCGGAGTTCCTGAATTTCACTTCTCAAAACTTTCTGGTCTGGTCTTACCTGGCTTGCCTTATCATTTGGCCCAATCCCTTTATTACTTTTAATTTCAAAAAAGGGGCCTCAGGATTCTCCTCTTTCCTCAGCAAGGAGAGTGAGTCTGGCTCCTGGTCACACCCTGGCCTCCTCCAGCAGAGCCCTTTCTAGGTGTAATCCTTGCAAGTGACCTTGAAGTCTCAAGTGTCATGATTTTCCACATTGACCGTCCCTCCTAGAGGGATAGGCAGTGCATAGAGCCAGCACTAGCAGGTGCCACCTTACCTTCTGGTTTGCCTCTTTCATTTCTTCTTTCTTTAATTGTTCATTTTCATCCTTGTTTTCTGAGCGTTGCCTTTAGATTTGTGGAACCAATGTTTCCACTCAATATCTGACTTTTTCAGTATGAAAATTTCAGGATACAGGTTAAAAAAAAAAAAATGGATGGTGGAAAGTATTCTGTCCCAAGATTTCAGTGATCTGCCATGATAGTCCCAGTGCAAGAAACGTCATTTGATCACTACAGCTATCTCATGGGACATGAGATCTCTGCAGGCATGGCTTTTTCTGCTCTTTGGCTGTGGCATTTAGGAGAGACAGCTTTTATGGTCGTGCCACTTTTGCCTTTTAGTGACAGGCCAGGCTCCTCCACGGTACTCTTGTTTAGTGTCTGTGTTAGGTGGTTTTTGGTTTTCATGCCTTCTTCTAAAGAAGTAAAGAACTCACTTTCCTGCTTCTCACATGTCGGCTTGTCCTGAGCCGTGGGTTTTGATTCTTGCAATGTATGTGCCTTATTTTCCGTTTCTCTTGTCGATGAGAAGGACCCGTTGTTTTGTCCGGTCAGCATTCCGAGGCTGCGCGTCCAGACAGTGTTATCAAGAAGCGAGCCCAGGGTTGGAGCGGTCTGAGCTGTCGTGTGACTGATTTCCTGTGTCGTTTGAAGCTGATAGGAGGATGTTCTCCTCTGACAAGTTACCCTTGTATATCCTGCAAATGTGTAAGATAAACTATGTTCTTTTTCTCCACCTTTTTTTAGATTTTTAAAGAAGAAAATGTGTAATCCTTTTTAAAGAACAACACATGTAAATACATTCAAGTATTGTAGGTGTAGAGTTGGTCTGTGATGGCCATGGGCCTTCCTCGGAAAAGCCTGTGGCTGCGCAGTGCCCATAGGCCGCAGGAATGGTAGCCCAGACACGTGAACTCTGCCTTGGCTTTCAGAACCACTTAGTCCTTTTGTAACAAAGAAAAAAAAATAAATAAATAAAAATGTTTCTTACAGTGTCAATAAAAAACTTTGTACTGAACTGTTTTACTGGATTCTTTTTGTTTTCTTGCAATTAATCCCTATAAGAATAAAAGAATATTTTCTCTGGAAAACTCCCCTGCCTAGAGTTGAGTCCAGACTGGACATACAAATTATATTAGTTAGAGTTCTCTAGAGTAAGAGATCTTATACAATGTGTGTATGTATGCATATAAGCTTATATATACGTGTGTGTGTGTGTGTGTGTGTGTGTGTGTGTGTGTGTGTGTGTGTGTGAGAGAGAGAGAGAGAGACAGAGACAGAGACAGAGATTTATTAGAATGACTTACAGGCTATGGTCTAGTTAATCCAACAATGGCTGCCTATGAACAGAAAGTTAAAGAACCCCGTTCAGTCCATGAAGCTGGATGTGTCAGCTGGTCTTCAGTATACTCCAGAATCCCAAAGAAGTAGGCTCTGATGTCAGCGAAGAAACTGTCTTGCTAGCAAGAGCAAGGGCTGGCAAAGAGACAGTGTCCTCCTTCCATGCCCTTTATGTAGGCTGCAGCAGAAGGTATGGTCCAAACTAAAGGTGGATCTTCCCAGCTCAAAAAATATGGAATAAAGGACCCGGATTAGAAATGTGTCTTCCTACTTCAAATAATTTCAGTAAAAATTCCTCGCAGGTATGTCCAGTCATTTGGATTTTAGTTAATTCCAGATGTAGTCAAGTTGACAAGTCAGAATAGCCATCATGTAAATTGAGTTTACTGCATTTATCACTAGATGGAGATGAAAATGCCCCACATTCATTGGCAGTGTGAGATGTATACCTCCCATACACAGGGCTGTACAGAGCACGCTGATGGCCCTTGTGTTTCTTATTTTTACTGCTTTGTCCAACTCTGAGGAAGGGTGATAGGGTTTCACAGCTAACAATATGTTTCTCTTTTATATACTATCATTTTACCTAGAGATAAACTAACAAATGGAAAATATGGCACGATAGAGACTTGCTTTACTCCCCACATACCTTTTTTCTTCAATTTCCATTTTATTCTATGTGTGTGGGTGTCCTGCCTGCATATATGCCTGTACACCACGTGCATGTCTGGAACTCACAGAGGCCAGAAGAGGGCATCAGATCCCCTGGGACTGGAGTTGCATTCAGTCATGAGCCACCATGTGGGTGCTGAGAATCAAACCCCGATTCTCTGGAAGAAACAGCCTGTGCTGTTAACCACTGAGCCATCTCTCCAGCCCCTGGAGGCTTACTTTTATGTGGCATTTAATGACTCGCTCCAGTCAGAAATCTGTCTCCTTTGCTTTTTCAGCCAGTTCGCAGTAGTGCTCTGCACCTTAACCATCAGAGATCTCCATTCCACATTGTTGGTAGCAGCACATCTGGAAACCACCAACTCAGCACTGTTGTTGGAAGATGTGACGCTGCTGACTGGATACCCCAAGTCATGGGATCAGAGCACCCCTTAAATCACAGGCACACAGGAACTTCAATGTGCCTTCCTGATTCTTAAGGGAAAATTCCATTGCTCCAACATACTTTGCTTTCACAAGTAGATTTCTCACAAAAGGTGTCCAAATGAATTCAGGAAAAAATAAGAAAGCATGAGACTATACTCTGTCCAGATACAAATATTCAGCTCAAAAAGATATGTGTCATTCAGCATGCAAGAATAAAAGGGAAAGTGCCACTAATGAAGGGAGGAAGGGCAGGGTTGTACAAGAGGCATATGTTCTGTATTGTTAGAGCAACAGAACTGATAGGGTAAGTGTGCATGCGTGCGTGTGTGCGTGTGTGCGGTCTGGCTAGTCTTTAACAACAATGGCTCTCTCCCAAAAGAAAGACCAAGAAACCAGTCATTATTCCATCCACAAGGCTGCATGTCTCAGCTGGTCCTTGGTCTGCGTTGGGATCCTTAAGAAGTAGGTTCTAATCCCAGTGAAGGAGTGGCTAAACAAAAGGATAGATGAACTTGCCAACGAGAGTGAGGGCAAGCAGGCGAAACTCGAAAGCTTCCACGTGGCATGTCAGTTTATGTGGGCTTCCACTAGAAGCAGTGGCCCAGATTTCCTGGCTCGAGAGATCCGGTCAAGGAAATCCCTCACAGGTGTGCCCAGCTACCTGGGTTTTAATTTGCTCAAAGTGTAGTCACACTGACAGCTGAGATTAGCTATTACGTTTCCCAAATGCCTTTTAATCCCAGAAGGCAGCCGTGGGGATGGCTCACAGTTTTCCTTTGAAAATACTGGTGATGTAAGTGCTTAATAATAAAGATTCTAAATAATTTTATGTATGAGGATTGATGAGTTAAGCAACTGGATGCAAGGTAAATTATACAAAATCCATTTAATTTTTAATTGTATGTTTTCATTGAAAGTAAATTTTTCTCATATAATATATTCTGTTCATGGTTTCCCTGCCCCCATTTCTTCCCAGATCCTCCGCACCACCCCACTCATCCAACTCTATGCCCTTTCTCTTTAAAAAACAAACAGGCAAACAAAAAAATCAGAATTTTTTTTGTTTAATTAAATCAGAATTTTAAAAAATTTAAATAAAAACACATTACACACACACAACAATAATCATAAAAACAGCCAGATGTGGTAGCACACTCCTTTAACACTTAGGAGGCAGAGGCAGAGCTGGATTGCTATATTCAAAGCCACCCCTGGTCTCCAGAGTTCCAGGACAGCCAGGGCTACACAAAGAAACCTTGTCTCAAAGGCAAGAAAAAAAAAATTCAAACAAACCCTGTAAAAGCAAAATCAGAAATCACAATATACAAACAAGACCAGTAAGACATGTATTTGGTTTTCCTCTATGCCCATGACTTACTAGTATCAGGTTCTCTGCCACTGGAGCAGTGTTGGGGGTAGGTTCCACCTTGGAGAGTGGACAATGTGAGGATGGAATTGAAAGGTAGGAGAAAACAACATGAAACAGTGCATCTGATAAGCAAGATTTGTTTATTGTTAACTCCTCAGGGGAAATGTTTAAAATACCATTGGTAATGATGGTAGATGGCCAGTGTTGGGGTACTAGAGAGGAACTGATGGGGGTGCCCTTGGCTCCTTCAAGCTGAGTTCTTCCCTGTAGAAGCAAGCAGGACAGCAGGCAGGAAGGGCATCCAGCTATACAGCCTGCCCTTCCACTTCCTCCAACATGGCAGCACTAGGAAGAACCAGGATCAGAGACAGGACTTGGCCACTATCGATAAATATGCAATAAACGTCGGGTGTAACTCGCTGTTTTCGTGCCTATGTTTCTCGCACATTGCAGGGATACTTTGAGAAAGCTACTTTCCTCTTTGATCATTCTGCTTCCTGCCACAGCTCTGCGGGGCTCAGCTCAGCCTTCTCTCCTGTTCCTTGTTCCTTCTGCTTGAGAAGGCTGTGTGAGTACCAGAAGTGAGACATGGGCTGGCCAGTGAGTGAACCAAACAGGCAAAGAGCAGCACGGAGCTAGTCCCATTTGTTGGCCTTGCTTGGGACATGAGGCTGGCTGCTGTTTTCGTTAAGTGGGACCAAGGCAGTATTTGTGGGTGGTAAGGATAATTCCCACACTGCTTGTATCTAATGGGGCTTCCTTCTCACGTGCCAGCTAAAGAATGATTCACAACTAAAAGCAGCAAAAACTTGATTGAACCCCTGCTTTTGGAAAAGGTCCAGCTTCAGAACGTACTTCTAATGCAGGGATAAAAGGCGTATCTTAGTAGTCATGGCCCTCTTGGTCCTCAGTTTCCAGGTGATTTAAATAAAAGCCCAACATAAGCATTTGGCTGTATTTCCAGCCCAAAGCATCACTCTTATGTTATGCTAAGGCCCCCACCAGCTGATGAGCTCACAAAACGGATCTTTTCATTAAGGAGGAGAGGTGGGAACCATGTCTGTGCTTTCTTATCTACCTGTAAGACCCTCTGCTTGTAGAAGGGACACTTTCCCTAGGAGCAGAGCAGCCTGGCCCAGCTTGAATACTCACTCCCTGCTTCTGGATTAGCACTCTTCCCCTGCAGCTGGGAAACCTCCTGTACTCAGAAATTCCAGGGGCCCGACGTGATCCAGGCTCAGAAATTGGGCCTCAGCTCCTCACTGTTGGCAGATGCAAGGCTCCAACCCTCCGGGGCTTGTTGGAGCCAAATGCACTGTGGAGGTGTGATTCACTGAGTTCCCAGAGGAAGGGTACACAGCCAGCTGGCAGGGAATTACTCTATGTCCAGGCCAAGGAATTCCATTGCTGTTAGCTGGAAACAAGCAGCCAGCTACCTCCCTTCTCTTCCTTGCTGGCTGATGCTTGGAGCTGGAGATGAGCCAGGGATCTGGGGAGAAGAAAAAAAAAACAGGATCTGAGCTGCTTATGACCAAGATAAGTCTGTGGCTGAGGTCCTCCACAAGTTAAGGCAAGAAGTATTTGTATCTTTATTTAAAGGTGATTCTTATGCTCCCAAATATTTACACTACCCAGGGGTGATTTTTTTTGTTTGTTTTGTTTTTTGTTTGTTTTTCAAGGCAGGGTTTCTCAGTGTAACAGTCCTGGCTGTCCTGGAACTCACTTTGTAGACCAGGCTGGTGTTGAACTCACAGGGGTGATTTTTTTAATAAGCAGCAAATGGGAGACAAGAAAAAAAAATATGGATGCCATAGCTCAGGGACAGTCTATCTTCTGAATAAGATTTTTTCCCTCCATACCTTGGGTGCTTTGGGGTCTCTAGGAGTGATGCTGCAGAGCCGTTGCTTAGCTGTTCTTCATCCCTTTACTCTTAAGAGATTATGGTGTCCATGAACCCAGCTCCCCTGACACTTTCCATTTGACCCACATCCTTCCAAAAATGAAATCATGGAACATCCCGATAAACTTTTCCCCTGAAGTCTATACAAGGAATGAAAACCCAAGACCCTGTCCACGCAACCTCCCCTTCAAGCTTAGATCATTGTGTCACTTGAATTGAGGAAAGAGCTAAGATCTTTTTCACCTGCCTTTACCCCATCTTGGGGGTGAATAACAAACACCTGCAGTGTATCCTCAAAGCATAGGGCAAA